CCCCTCGCCCTCTCTCCCTCTCCTCGCCCCCGACTCCGCCAACTCCGCCCGCTCCGCCCGCTCCGCCCACTCCGCCATCTCCGCCCGCTTCGCCCACGAGCACGGGGCCGTCGAGGCTCTGCCGGCCGGGCCGCTGCAGCCGTCGTCGCAGGCGTCGGCCTGCCCGCCCGAGATCTCCCGAGATCTCCCGAGATCTCCCGAGATATCCCGAGATCTCCCGTCGTCGCAGGCGTCGGCCTGCCCGCCCGAGGGCCTCGCCAACACGCAGCTCGACGAGTCGTCCCTACCGCGCGAGGCGGAGGTCGAGGTGGGGCGCGGGCTGCGCTCGGCCGCGGAGCTGGTCGAGATGGGCTTCGCGCCCGCGCGCGTGGCTGCGGCGATGGACGCGTCTGTCGGCGACGTGGTGCAGGCGTTCGAGTCCCTGATGGAGCAGCCCACGCCTCCGGCGGAGCGGCACGCCATCCTCACCGCGCTGCGGGCGCGCTGGCGGCCGAGCTTCGCGCCGGGCGGCGGCGGCGCCGTCTTCTCGGAGATTGTCGGCGCGAGGTGCGATCTCGGCCGATCTCGGCCGATCTCGGCCGATCTCGGGAGGGCGATCTCGCGTGATCTCGCGTGATCTCGGCCGATCTCGCCTCAGCGCGGCGGCCCTCGGCCGTCAGGTGCGAGGACGAGTCGGCGGCGGTGACGCAGCTGGACGAGACACTTCCGAGACACTTCCCCCACCAGCTGGACGAGACACTTCCGAGACACTTCCCCCACCAGCTGGACGAGACCGCCGTCCGGCCGGCCGCCGAGTCGGAGGGCGGCTCCCCGCCCGGTGCATCTCCGCCCCACGCCTCCTCGCCTCGCAGCGGCGGCCCGGGTCGCGGCCCAGCTGGCTCCCCGCCCCAAGCCTGCCCGCGGCACGAGGCGGCTGGGAAGTGTCTCGGAAGTGTCTCGGAAGTGTCCCAAGCCTGCCCGCCGCACGAGACGGCTGTTTACAGCTCGAGGTGTGAATAGGCGCTGTTCACAGCCCGCCGCACGAGACGGCGCTCCGCTCGGCGCGGGACGAGGCCGAGGAGGCGGAGGCGGCGGAGGAGGAGGAGGAGGCGGAGGCGGAGGCGGAGGCGGAGGCGGAGGCGGAGGCGGAGGAGGAGGAGGCGGCGGAGGCGGAGGCGGAGGCGGAGGCGGAGGCGGAGGCGGAGGCGGAGGCGGAGGCGGCGTCCGCCGTCGGCGGCCGCAAGCCATCGCCGCCCGAGTCTAGTACCCGTCTCGAAAGGGGCGCCCCCACCTCCGCGGCAACGGGCTGCAGCCGCTGTGGAGGAGGCGCCCGTGGCAGTGGGTCCCGCGGCGGCGGGGCCAGCGGCGGAGGTGGCAGCCGCTGCGGTGCCAGCGGCAG